TTAATTTGTTCTATCACACTGATTGATTTGCAAATTTTGAACCATCCTTGTAGCCCAGGAATGAATCCCACCTGGTCATGGTGGATAATCTTTTTAATGTGCTGGATAAGGAAGATGTGGTCCATATACACTATGGAGTATTATGCCTCCATCAGAAAGGATGAATACCCAACTTTTGTAGCAACATGGACGGGACTGGAAGAGATTATGCTGAGTGAAATAAGTCAAGCAGAGAGAGTCAATTATCATATGGTTTCACTTATTTGTGGAGCATAACAAATAGCATGGAGGACATGGGGAGTTAGGAGAAGGGAGTTGGGGGAAATTGGAAGGGGAGGTGAACAATGAGAGACTATGGACTCTGAAAAACAATATGAAGGGTTTGAAGAGGTGGGAGGTGGGAGGTTGGGGGAACCAGGTGGTGGGTATTAGAGAGGGCACGGATTGCATGGAGCACTGGGTGTGGTACAAAAACAATGAATACTGTTATGCTGAAAATAAATTTAAAAAAATTATTAAAAAAATAAATAAATAAAGTTACCCAGCCACACTCATATTTAGTTTACATATAACCTTTACTTCAAGGAAATGGTTCTGTGGTTTAAAACAAGTTTGAGAGCACTCGCCACAGTCTCTTATCCTCCTTGGAGAGATGGGAGATAGACAAAGTCCCAGGAAAGCATAGAAACTGACTTAAGGTACCAGAGTCAGGATAGAGCCTGGACTGAGACCAGATCTCTTTGACAGCCAGGCCAGCAAGAATCCTTACATATTTTCTAACGCCACTCTGTGATGAGCTTCTGCTCAGACACCTCCCTGGAGGGAAAGCCTCTAGGCTCCTGTGACAGTGCTTCTGTGACAAGTATTCAAAATATCTTCCTTGTTGAGCTGAAATCTACTCATGGGCACAACTGGATGGGGATAGGGAGCACCTCAAACATGCCAATTTCTTCAAATCTCCATTGTCTGGGGAAATATCCCCCTATGCCGAACTTTGAGGAAACAATTCTTCTCTTGCTTAACAACTTCTGTCATGAAAATTAAGAAATGAAACAAAATAAAATAGTTCAGTAGTGACCTCAAGGAAATGGTTCTCTCCTCCTCCCAAGATCTGCTGCCACGATACCTCCTTCCCCACAGACTCACTGGAAGAGTCAGGTCACAGTGTGACTGGAGAGAGAAATGCAAAGCCAGCTTCTGGTGGGGATAGACCTGAAGGAAGTCCACATCTTCCTCATTTGTTTCAGGAACATGTTTTGGGATGGCTCTGCCTTCCAGTACCAAACTTCATGGACTTAGAGAACTGTCAGGGTTTATTACCTATCTGTATCCCACATGACACTGCTTTGACCATGAAAGATGTACAGCTCTACGTTCCTTTTTTTCATAGGCTTATTGCTAGATGACGTTTCTTATCCCCAGTGAGTGAGCCTCGGGTAGGACAAGGAAAGCCACACCTAAACACATAAGAGTCAAACTGGTATTTGATAAAGACAAAAAGGTGAAAGTAGAAGGAAAAGAAGAGACATTACTTTAGGGGAAACAGCAAAAAGAGTAACAACAACAACAACAACAAAGAATAACAATGGGGGGGAAAGTGTTTGACTATTAAAAAAATAATAATAACAACAAGCTTCCCACCAGAAACAACAAAATTCAGAAGACAGTCAAATGACATTTTCATTTTTTTTAAAGATATGTTTATTTATTTTAGAGAGAGAGAGCACACAAGAAAGGGGAGGAGCAGAGGGAGAGAGAGAATCTTCAAGCAGACTCCCTGATGAGCACAAAGCCCCATGCAGTGCTCAATCCCAGGACCCAGAGATCATGACCTGAGCCCTTAACTGACTGAGCCAGCCAAGTGCCCCTTAAATGACATTTTTAAACAGTTGAAAGAAAAACAGGAATAGGCAACCTATTTCTGGTATTCAGCCTAGAACTCTCTATCCAGTGAAAATATTGTTTAAAAGGAAGGCAAAATGAAGACATTTTCAGAAAAACCAAGATAAGAGAATTGTTGCCATCAGAACTGCATTGCAGGGCGCCTGGGTGGCTCAGTGGGTTAAGCCGCTGCCTTCGGCTCAGGTCATGATCTCAGAGTCCTGGGATCGAGTCCCGCATCAGGCTCTCTGCTCAGCAGGGAGCCTGCTTCCCTTCCTCTCTCTCTGACTGCTTCTCTGCCTACTTGTGATCTCTGTCAAATAAATAAATAAAATCTTTAAAAAAAAAAAAAAGAACTGCATTGCAAAAAATACTAAATGCAGTTCTTTAGTCTAAAGAGAAATGATCCCTGTTGAAAGCAGGAAGGGAAAAAGAGAAATAAATGTATAAAATGTGACTAAATATAAAAAATTTTATATGTAAATTTTGTTCAAAGATTACTGATTATTTAGGGCAAAAAAATGCTTTAGGAATAATGGCATACAGTGAAATGTATGACAAAAATAATTCAAAAGGTGGGGGGGAAGTTATATGGAAAGACATCATGACAAATTTCCTATGGGAAGTGGTATAACATTAATTCAAAGTACACTGCAATATGTGAAGAATCATACTGCAATCCTAGAGTAAATGCTAAGATAATATATACAGGTATAAATAAAAAGCCAATAAAGAGACAAAATGGGTGCCTGGGGGGTTCAGTCACTGAGTGTCTGCCTTCAGCTCAGGTCATGATGCCAGGATCCTGGGATCAAATCCTGTGTCCAGCTCCCTGCTCAGCAGGAAGCCTATTTCTCCCTCTCCCACTCCCCCTGCTTGTGTTCCCTGTCTCACTGTGTCTCTGTTAAGTATATAAATGAAATATTTTTTTAAAGACAAAATGGAACACAACAAAATAGGGCAGGAAAAGAAGGACAAAGGAACAAAGAAGAAATCACACTAATACAAATCAAATCCCAATAAGACATTCTTCAATCAATCCTATCAGCAGCTCCATTAAATGTAAACAGATTAAACACTCTAATTAAAGGGCAGAGATTATTAGTCTAGTTAAGAAATGCAAGACTGAATTTTGTGCTGTTTACAAGAGAGACATCTTAAATTTAAAGACATAGATAAGATGTAAGTAAAGACATAGATAAGATGTAAATTATAATGGAAAATAAATATATCCTGCAACACCAATCAAAAAAAAAAAAAAAAAAAGCCTTGCCCATGGAGAATTCTGCTTAAATTTAAAAGCAGTCTTTTTGTGCCAATGTCTACCTCATTCTCCTCAACCTGCTCTGATGAATTGCACCAGACTTCCATCTCAGTGGAGGCCCTATCTCCCTGCTTGAGCTCCAATACCAGCTACTAGCCCAGCCCCGATATGAACATCCTCCTCACACCACTTGGGTGTCTGCTTCCTGAACTGGGCTGCCCTCCTCACCTCACATTTATTCTGCCATCCTAAACTGGGTTGCCCAGTGCAGGGCATCCAAGCCCATGTCGGATAAGGAGAGTGTCCACATAGGAGGCCTGCTGTGGGCACCTTCCTCACCTCACACAGGTTTGCGTCGCCACCCTCCAGTTCACTGTGACTCCCCACCCTGCCAGAGTTGATACTGGCTTCATTGTTTCTTAAGACAGTGGGGATCAAGATGTTCAGAAGTGATGATATTTTCACATGACTCCCATCTTTATCCATTATGGGGAGACTATCAGAATAACTTATTTAGCAAATGGTACAGGGATATAAGAAATATAGTTCCCCAGACAGTGGTGTGAGGATATTGTTCTAGCTCCCTGGCCTCCATTCCCACTTCACATGGTATCTGTAGCTCATTAATGAGAGTAACTTTTGAGAGACAGTTAAACCTCTTCCATTCTCAACATGTTTGGTCATAACAGAGCACATCTCACCCTATCCACAGGCTATGACCTCAGTTTAAACCAGTCACTGGTTTCAAGTCCTCTGACCAACTCTACCTACAGCTAAAGCAGTATGACAGATTGTCCTCTGCTGTGGTTGCCACTGTATGTCTCCCATCCCACAGGCTCTTCTCACATGACTGAAACACTCCTCCCACTCAGAAGTGGGGTCAAGGCCCCTTCCTTTTTAACCTGGATGGAGGTTTCTGATTGCTCCAAGCAGGGGAATATAATAGAATGCAATGCCATATGACTTCAAAGTCTAGGTAATAAAAAGAACACAGCTTCTGTCTGGCTCGATTTGGGGGAGACACTCACTCTGCGGAAGCCAACCATCATTTTATGAGGAAGATTGAACAATCCCATGCAGGGACTGCATGAGAGGACCTCACAGAGAAGAACTGATGGGCCCAGAAGATGAGCACCAACCACTGGGCATGGGTGAGTGAGACTCAGGTGATTCCAGTCTCCAGGCTTCAAGTCTTCCCTGACACCAAGGGGAGCAGAGGAGAGCTATCCACAACTTGCAGATTCGTGGGAAAGATAAATGGTGGTGGTGGTGGTGTTGGTGGTGGTGGTGGTGGTATCATTGATGTTGTTTTAAACCACTCAATTCTTCAGTAAGTGAAGCAAGCCCTCTTCAATATTACTCCCACACCATTCATTCAATCCATCCCTCTAACTGTGGCCCTCACCATCCTTATCAGATCACTGGTGATTTTGACTCCTCCACCAGAAGCAAAGGATCTCACCTCCAATATCCCCGAGTCTCAAGAAAAGGCAGCTCAATGAAGGATCATCCTGATAGTCTAAAGAGAGCCCAGGAATAGAAAATGTTCTTGGATGTATCATCAAGAGGCTCAGATTACTGCAACTCAGGGCCCTACTACTCACAGATGCAACATCTTTAACCACCCCACCCATAGTCTGTGGTTCCTATTCTCTGCTGGTGTGGTCAAAAGCTGCCAGTGCTGATGTGGTGACTGATAAATTATTTCACTTGGGCCTGGACTTGATCAGACAGCGATAGGAGGCACTCAGACAGAGCCTTATGTGATAAAGACTACAACATCAGAGAGGAACACAGTGGTTAGAGGACTAGGAGGAAGTACTGCAGCTCCAACCTGGGCAGCCTTCCTGGGAAAATGCAGCTGCTCCTACTCCTTGTGGCCTTTCTTCTGGCTCCCAAGGTTGAGGCAGGTGAGTGACTGTCTGCCCCCCTCCCCCCTCAACAGAGGCCCAGCCTCATCCAACTGTGGTACAGCCCTGCTCAGATGCTCCACTCAGGCACATCCTGGTCTTGCTGAGTTTTGATCCCACATCAGATCTGCCAACCTCCCTCCAAGATGGGCAAATCTGAAGCAGGATAAACACTCAGCATGAATGACAGGGCAGAAGTCTATTCCCCGGAGGGTGGGGGCAGGGGAGCTGTAGGTCCTACCCTTATCATCTGGAAATTGGGTTCTTATACAAAGGCATCTAGAAGAGTTGGAAGGTAGGAATGAGAAATAATTAATCCCCCAGGAATAGGTAGTTTGGAGAAAGGGGCTGGCTTCTGTAATCAAAGCTAGGCCCACTAACTTTCTTTTTTGTTTTGTTTTGTTTTGTTTTGTTTTTGAGAGAGAGAGCATGTTCATGAGAGCGAGGGGCAGAGGAGAGAGAAACTTAATCAGACTCCACACTGAGCACAGGGCCCCATATGGGCCTTGATGTCACCACCCTGAGATCGTGACCTGAGCTGAAACCAAGGGTCCAAACCAAGAGTCCTTTGCTTAAGTAGGCCCACTAACTTTCTAACTCAATGTCTTAAAATCTATCCTCAATCTCCACCCAGTTCCCCAAGTTTTGTCATTCTTATGCTGCCCAAGGAAGGAGCCAAGGACCCAGCTGGTCTCAGAGGTGGTGGCATCCTGGTCCCCTTAATACTTAGGTTTGGTAATTTTTCAGCCACAGTGAGTACAATGGCTTTGGCAGGCCCCATATTTACTGGTACTTGGAACCACAACCAGCACTCCCTCAGAGGTTGATTGGGAGCCATTCCTTCATGCAGCTAAGACACTTCCTGGGCAGCTAATATTTGTCAGGCTCTCAAGAAGATCAAACACAACTCAAAACATAAACATGAGCATTTTGAGTTCATGTTCCAATCAATACAAATAAGGAACAGCTCAGTAAAGTCTGGGAAACAAAAGGGGATAGTGGACCCAGATATCAGGGAAAGGATTTTCCGGGATCTGTGGGGACTTCACTGTTTCTTCCAAATGCAAATTACTTCTGCCACCATATGTGTCCACTGTAGGAATTAAGAAACAAGAACTGCTCTTCTCTTTGTTAGAGGGAGAATCTGAGTCTTGTGGGTCATTTGGTAAGCCAGGAATGCTGCCTGAGGAACCCTTCTCGGTTGCTGTTGCCTACTACAGACCCTACTCTCTGCCACCCCAACTCCTTCCCACCTGTTTTAGTTCATCCCCATCTCTCCTTCTCCAGCCTTTGGCTCCATGAGCACAGTGGGCAGAGTAAACGATTTCTTTCAGGGAAAATAATCAGAGGCCATGAAGCCAAACCTCATTCTCGTCCCTTCATGGCATTTCTCCAGATTCAGAATCCAAATAAAACCTGTGGGGGGTTCCTAGAACATAAGGACTTTGTGCTAACAGCAGTTCACTGCAAGGGGAGGTAAGAAGCAGCGCCTGGAAGCCCACCCTTTTGTTAACTCCTTATAAGGATCCCTCTTCCAAGACTGCCACCCAGCCTAGACTGTCAAGAAGCAGGGGGTTCACAGATGCTCAGCCCTGGGACCCCATCCCCTAGAATTCCTCTCCATCCCAGTCTTGCCCTGCCCTGAGCTGTCCCGTTTCATCCATGGCCTTTGGGCTATACCTCCTGTGACCCCCCACCTCCCACTCACTCTCTGTACAACTCCATCAGGGTCATCCTGGGGACCCACAACATCAAGGAGCAGGAGAGGACCCAGCAGGTCATTCCAGTGAGAAAAGCCATCCACCACTCAGACTATAATCCTAAATATGTCTTCAACAACATCATGTTACTGCAGGTAGGGCCCTTGATCCGCTGGTTCTTGCACACTTTATTCCTGGGGATTTTGCATCCCCTGTGATGTCATTCCTGTCCCTCATTCCTAGTATGACATTTTTACTTGTCCTGGGGCTATGAGGAGGGCTACCCCATGACTGTCCCTGGAGTCTTTGTGAGCCATTGGTAGATTAGAATTCCTTTCCTCTGCATTCAGCTGGAAAAGGCCCACCTGACTGCCCATGTTAGCCCCCTCAGGCTGCCCAAGAGGAGTGCACAGGTGTGGCCAGGGATGGTGTGCAGTGTGGCTGGCTGGGGATGCCTCAGCATGAACAGCACCTCTGGGGCCTGGAAACTGCATGAGGTAGAGCTTGAAGTCCAGAGGAACAAGCAATGCATCTCATGCTATAAAAACTCTACAACGGCACAACCCAAATGTGTGTGGGGAACCCGAAAAAGAAGAAGTCTTCTTTTAAGGTGAGATCCCCAGCACTATTCATGCCCAGCCCTGGGACAGCCAAGTTTTGAGAAGGCACAGTGAGAACTAGCCTTATTTCTATGTCCTCAGCATTTCTATCCAATCCAGTCTCTGGTCCTATCTCCCTGGGGGGGTAGGGAGGTGGTGGGAGATAGTCCCACAGCTACTGATGAGCAGAGGCTTTCTGAGGGAGAAAAGGGAGGGGAGTATCGGGGCCAGGCTGGAGCCCAAGGACCAAGGGAGGCCACAAGGCCTCCCCTGGCCCTGATCTCACCCACTGTCCCCTAACAGAAACCACCTACCTCCAGGGGTGGCAAGGAGGACAGGACCTAGAGAAAGTCCAACTCAGTCCTTCCTCCCTCTCCCTGCAGGGAGACTCTGGGGGCCCCCTCTTGTGTAACATGGCCCAGGGCATTGTCTCCTTTAGAAAAACAGATGGGGAACCTCCACGTGTCTACACCAGGATCTCAAGCTTTTTTCACTGGATAGAAAGAACAATGAGATGCTTCAGCCTGCAGGGACCAGACTGAGATGCCCCCAGGATCAATCCGTCCATCTTCTCTGGGACAGAGGCCAGAACTGCACTGGGAAAGGGGGTGGAGAGGAGGTTGCCAAGGCTTCATAAACTTCCATCTCTTGAGTGGAAATTAGATCCTCTTCTTTTATTCACCATAACATTTGTTAGTTACCTACTGCGTGTCCAGCCACCATCTGTTCACATTTCTCTAGAACAAAAAGTCATGTTGCTTTGGTACCCAGCTCCTTCCAAATATACCTCCCAGCACCACCTCCTCCTGCCAGGCTGAATGTAAGCTCCATCAGGAAAAAGGAGACACTGCCCCAAGAAAAATGACCCTCTCCTAGAGGATGCTCTTATCTCATCCATATTGCCTTCCTACCTTATCCCACACCTACACCCCCACCCCATCCTACCCCAATATGGCAACATAAAGGAATCCACATCTGGAAGGACCACCTAAGAAGTTCTGGGATAGGGGGCCACTTCATCCTAATAGAAATGGGTGGGAAGATTCTGGAAAGCTGTAACTCACCCCATGCAGCACTCCCTCCCCCAATCAGAGTGGCAGCTTGGGAGCTTGGAAGAGTTTTGGGAGGGTACTCCCAAGCCTAGCCCAAGTGCCAGTCACAGCCTTGCCGTGGTCCCAGAGTCCAGCACAGCATCTGGTGTCCTGACGCCCATCTTCCCAGAGTCCCAAACGACATTGAAAGTACTCTTCCATCTTGGTCTGATCCAGCCTCTTCCCACCCCATGCTCTTTCTGTGTGTGTGTGTGTGTGTGTGTGTGTGTGTGTGTGTGTGTGAATGAGTGTGTTCATTACAATAAAAAGTTGTGTTTAAAAGGTATCTTATGGTTTCAAAGGTATCCTATAGCCTATAGTTAATTGAGTAATTTTTCTTCCATTTTTCAACAATCTCTAAGTCTCTTCCATAAGAATGTATTCAGAAAAAATAATCTTATTTTTCTAAAACATCCACCTCAGAAAAGGCAGGCTGAAAAGAAAAAGTGGTTGGCTGAATGCCTGCCATTGATGAGTGTGTTTCAACTGTGGGAAAATGTACACTTACCACAGATTCTTAGTCTGCTCCAAACAACCATCAATATCTCAAGCTCTCTGGTATCCCCGGACCTAGCTAGCTCAGTAATTATTCCTGATTTCCTCAGAAATGGAAAAAGGGCCAAGAGACGAGAAATGGAGACATTCTTGAGTCAGTCACTGAGGGGCTTCTGAGGTACCAGCCCTCCTGCTGGCAGGAGCCACAGCCTTCACTTTCTTGTTCGTTCTTCTTGCTTTCACCTTATAACTCAGCAGTGGCAGTGCAAGTGTGATAGCTGCACCATTCTCACCTAACCCAAGCCAGAGAACTTCGACAAACCACCTTAAATGATGACACCCAGCCGTAGAGACACAGAGGTTGAAGAGGCCTAAATCGGTGAGCCACCCTTCTATCACTCCCCTAAGGGCTCTGTATCTGGAAGGAAGAAAGATCAACAGCTCTGAGGTGGGCAGACCTTCAGGGAAGATGCAGCCTCTCCTGCTTTTGTTGGCCCTTCTTCTGCCCCTTGGGGCTGGGACAGGTGAGTGACCATACCCATTCCAGAGACCTGAGCCCATCCCACAAAACCCCTTGTACTCTTGACCCTTCTGCCCAGCACAGTCAGGGATTGTCCTCAATTTGAGCCTTTCTGAACCCCAGCTCCTACCCCGAACTCAGACCTACAGGTCCGATGCTAGACAGACGCTCAACAAAGATGGCCGGCAGGAAGGGTGCTCACTAAAAGGGTTAGTAGGGGTTAGCCTCCTTCTTATCACTTGGAAAGTGAATTGTTTAGAGAAAGGCATTTGGCAGAAGATATGAAGCTACAAAAGATAGGCAATTAAGAGCCCTGAATCCAAGCCAGGAAATGTAAGCTCAGACAAACCAGCTGCAGTAGTGGGAGGTGTCACTGGACCCAGCTTAAAGAACCAGTTAAATTTCCCAGTGCTCTCCACCCTCTCACTCCTGCCTGGGACAAGGGCCCGGGTACAGTCGATCTCAGCAGCAGCTAGATGACTATACACAAAGCTCTATCCCAGGCCTGTGGAGCCCACTGTCAGCACCACCTCCCCCTGCCTGTGCAGGGCCCTCGGCTACTTCACTGTCTTTGGCAGTGCCCTCCCTGACTCCTGTGGTCTCGAGTTCCACCAGCACTAACTCCACCCAACTTCAGCCAAAAACTCACTGATAGCCATTCCCTTGTGCAACTTAAAAATGTCTACTGAGACCATGTGCTAGCCCCTAGGACATGAGGATTTTAGAAAATCCAACTCCACAAACTCATAGGTAGTTTATTAGAAAATGACACCCTGGGATATTAGCAGAGGCTCAGAAGGACCCAGGAGATTCACTGAGAAGCAAGGTATCAGGGGAATCCTGTCCATGATCTTTTGGGACTCCATCATCTTGAAGACAGATTTTTTTTAAGATTTTATTTATTTATTTGACAGAGAGACAGAGAGAGAGCATGAGAGGGGAGAAGGTCAGAGGGAGAAAAAGACTCCCTGCTGAGCAGGGAGCCCGAGGCCGGACTCCATCCTGGGACTCCAGGATCATGACCTGAGCCGAAGGCAGTCGCTTAACCAACTGAGCCACCCAGGTGCCCCTTGAAGATAGATCTTATCTCCTCCATACATGTGTCGGAAGTGGAATGTGGAGAACAAGTAATGCTCCCTTTTCAGGGGTGTTCTGAGGCTCGAGGTTCAAGAAAGAACATCCTGTTACATGAACCTGGGAGGACTGCCCATCCTGGGTCCACAGGGTGCTGTAGACCCCACCCTCGATCACTACCTTCCTAAACCTTCCCTCCTGACCACAGCCACCCCCAGACACTGCATCTTTCAGCCTTTTCTATCAGAGGAGATCATCGGGGGCCATGAGGTTAAGCCCCACTCCCAGCCCTACATGGCATTTCTTCAGTTTCTGGATAATGGCAAGATGAAGAGGTGTGGCAGTGTCCTCGTGCACAAGTACTTTGTTCTAACGGCTGCTCACTGCCGGGGAAGGTGAGGGGCAGCAGCCAGCCTACACATCTGAGACCCCAACAGGGACCCCTGTCCTATCCCCAGTGGTTGCAGCCCAGGGAAGCACCGGGGCTCCTGGTAACTCAAGCCCATGAGAGCTCATCAGAGGAGCCGGCTGAAAGCATGGCTGGGGTGATAAAAGCCTGAGAAGTAGGACAGGTAAGCTTTGGGGTCAGAGGGTCCAATGTGAGAGTAAGTGGCACAGCTGAGAAGAGAGGGACCACACCAGGTAAAAAAAGCAGCCGTGGGGGATGGAAATACCCATTAGAGCCAAAATGCAAACTCAGTGTAATTTCATGATATTGCCTGAAGGCAAAAGAAACCTCGAAGAAGCCCTACCTTCAGTGTCGTTGAAAAAAAGTGGATCCAGGACCCATTTGTCACCTCGATTTCCCCCTTGGCTCCAGCCCTGCCTTGCCCTGGATGCCACCTGCCCTTCACAGCCCCTGGTCTGTATCCTATGACTCCACACCCGCACACCCCACTCTGCTGTCTGTGCAGCTCCATGAGGGTCATTCTGGGGGCCCACAACATCAAGAAACAGGAGAGGACCCAGCAGGTCATCCCCGTGAAAACAGCCATCCCCCACCCAGACTATAAGCAGAACTTCTCCAATGACATCATGTTACTGAAAGTAAGGAAACCTCCCTGCTGCCCTTGCTCTCCTGGGTCCACTGGTTCCTCCTCTCACTGGGACCTGTCCCCTCCCTCCTTCTATCCTGGCCACCTGACCAGTCCCTGTGGCTCAGGGCAGAGAGAAGACAGTGCAGCCTCATCAGGGCATCCAGACCCCAAGGCCATTTTCTAAGCTGGACTGTCTCACCTCTTCCCATCAGCTGGAGAGAAAGGCCAAGCAGACTGCAGCTGTGAAGCCCCTCCGCCTGCCCGAGAGCAAGAACCCGGTGAGGCCTGGACAGGTGTGCAGTGTGTCCGGCTGGGGGCGGGTCTCAATGACCACCCTAGCAACCACTCTGCAGGAGGTGTCACTGGAAGTGCAGAAGGATGCGACATGTGCATCCCTCTTCCCTCACTATTACAGTGGGGCCACCCAGATTTGTGTAGGAGACCCGGAGGAGATGAAGACTGCCTTCAAGGTTAGGCTTCCAGCATCTACCTAGACAAGCCCCAGGAGAGAGGAATTTGGGGCAGACTGGGGTGTGGGAGTGGCCCTATCTTCCTGCCTCAGCCTGAGAGCACGGGCAGCAGGATCCACAAATCCAGTCTTCGGTTCCCCCCTAAGTGGGTCAGGATGGAGGGGAGGAAGGGTTCATCATCCAACAGTAGAATTACCCCCCCCCCCCACACACACACATTCAAGGTTCCCTTAGGATTAGAGAGAAAAGTTTGGCCCTGGAAAGAACAGTCAGTACCAGGCTAGAGCCCAAGAACTGAGAGAGGGGACAAGGCCTGCCCTGGGCCCAATATCCCATGCAGCCCCTAACACAGACCCCCCCATCCCCAGGGCATCAAGGAGGACAGGACCACTGGGAGGCCAGCTCAGTCCTTCCTCTCTCTGCCCACAGGGGGACTCCGGGGGACCCCTCGTGTGTAACAACATGGTCCAGGGGATTTTCTCCTATGGAAAACACAACGGGACCCCTCCAGGGGTCTTCATGAAGGTCTCCCACTTCCTGCCTTGGATAAAGAGAACAATGAAGCGCCTCTAACAGCAAGCATGAGATTGACTCCCCTCTGTGCTCGGCCATCTTTTCTGGGGCAGAGGAAAGAATCCCTTGCGACTGGGGGAGAGGGGAAGGAGGGATGGCAGGCCCATAATAAATGGATCTCTAGAGCGAATACGACTGAGGTCTTACTTATTCACTGAACCACTTCGGGTACAAAGCAACACTGCCCAGGCTATCTTCTGCTGCCAACTCCAGGCTTTGCTGCCTCCTTTCTCCCCCAACCCCCACCCTCCCTAACCCCTATGCTGCTTAGTTTCTCATCAATTTCCCAATAAGACCTCTTTGGTGCTAAGCCCTCTGCGAAGGTTCAGCCTAAACTCTATTATAGAAAAATTTCTGTCCCCGAAAAGTATCCTCTCTGGGCCTTAGAAATTTCTTAAATTCTCTAAGCCAACCACCATCACCAACCCAACAATTTGGTCAGTAGAAAGAGAGTAACTCCGGGGACCCAGGAGGCCAGGGGGCCATGCCATGGGCACCCTGTTTCCTGTTTCAAGGGGCTCTCTCTCGATCTCTCTCTCTCTCTCTCTCTCTCTCTCTCTCTGTGGGGGAGGGAAATGGGGGACAGGAAAGCAGGTTTCTCCTGCTCCTGGTGCAGCTCCCCCAGCCTCACCCGGGTTCCCTTCCATGCCTTGCCCAGCACTGAATTTAGTCAACCTTCCTCCCTGGTTGCCCATCCCACACAGCCTCTGTTTTCCATCCTGGCACCTGAGTTGCCAGCCCACTGGATGCCCATCAGAGGGACCAGTACCCACCTTTCAAATGGTAGGACCGGCTGAGTCCCTCCTTCCAAACCAGCATCCTATCCCCTAGGGGCTTAGCCTCTCTGGCCAATGGAGTCACTCTACAACCTCAGCCCCTTTCAGCCTGGCCTGGTCTCAGAACCCCAGCTCCCCCTACTGGCAACCTGGGTTATGGCAGCTTTGTGAGCCAGAGGACTCCAGGCTGCAGACCATCAGTAGATCAAAAGTTGATCTCAATGAAGACATATAAATGGCTATCAGACACATAAAAAAATGTTCATCATCACTAGCCATCAGGGAAATTCAAATTAAAACCACACTGAGATATCACCTTACACCAGTTAGAATGGCCAAAATTAGCAAGACAGGAAACAACATGTGTTGGAGGGGATGTGGAGAAAGGGGAACCCTCTTACACTGTTGGTGGGAATGCAAGTTGGTGCAGCCACTTTGGAGAACAGTGTGGAGATTCCTCAAGAAATTAAAAATAGAGCTTCCCTATGACCCTGCAATTGCACTACTAGGTATTTACCCCAAAGACACAGATGTAGTGAAAAGAAGGGCCATCTGTACCCCAATGTTTATAGCAGCAATGGCCACGGTCGCCAAACTGTGGAAAGAACCAAGATGCCCTTCAACGGACGAATGGATAAGGAAGATGTGGTCCATATACACTATGGAGTATTATGCCTCCATCAGAAAGGATGAATACCCAACTTTTGTAGCAACATGGACGGGACTGGAAGAGATTATGCTAAGTAAAATAAGTCAAGCAGAGAGAGTCAATTATCATATGGTTTCACTTATTTGTGGAGCATAACAAATAGTATGGAGGACAAGGGGAGTTAGAGAGGAGAAGGGAGTTGGGGGAAATTGGAAGGGGAGGTGAACCATGAGAGACTATGGACTCTGAAAAACAATCTGAGGGTTTTGAAGGGGCGGGGGGTGGGAGGTTGGGGGAACCAGGTGGTGGGTATTAGAGAGGGCACGGATTGCATGGAGTACTGGGTGTGGTGCAAAAACAAGGAATACTGTTATGCTGAAAATAAAAATAAATAAAAATAAAATAAAATAAAAAGTTGATCTCTCTGTTTGTGCCAGGCACTTGACGGGCTCTGTCCCTGCCATGGGGAAACATAGTGAGAAATGTCTCCTAAATTACCCTTCCACCTCCTTCCACCAAGCAGTTCAGTTTTGGCACAAATGGATCTGTATTTAGAATTAGTTAGATGTACTATATGTTGGCTAACTGAACATAATAGAAGGGAAGGGAAGGGGAGGGGAGGAAAGGGAAGGGAAGAAGAGGGAATGGAAGGGAAGGGAAGGAAGGGAAAGCAAGGAAAAGAAGGGAACGGAAGTATCCATGAGAAAGCCAGTCTTAAAAATAACTGAAATCCCTGAATTTTATCTGTAATGCACATTACACTTTCACATGCATGACTTTGGTTCCAGAAGGGCAATCTTAAATGGGAAGAAGTTTCTAATCTATGCATGGTAGAGGCCACATCCTGAGGTGAGGAAGGGAGGGACAGCCTTATTTTTATTTCCCATGTAGAAGATATGAACTGCAGTCCACAAACCCATGAAATGCCACATTTCAGGGGCAACATAGTTAACTGTCACCAGATAAACTTATTTGAGGGTCCTGTATCCTTTTTTTTTTTTAAATAATTATGAGTGGGGCAGTGGTGGGGCCGGGAGGACAGAGAGAGAGAGAAGGAGAGAATCTCAAGCAGACTCCCTGTGGAGCTCAGAGCCTGACCCTGGGATTATGACCTGAGCCAAAATCAGGAGTCAGATGCTTAAATGACTGAGGCCCCCAGGCACCTGGAGTCCTATATCCTTCAAACGACACCAGTAGTGAGTTGGACGTGACAGAACACAGTAAATTCACAATAGCTGGACAACCGGTCAAACACTGATTCAAGTGGGACCACCATCAAAAAGGGAAAGAATTTCACTGAAAAGGATAACAAATAAATCACATGGATGTGAAAAAGCAAAATCCAGTCCCTTGAAAAATAAGGTGAAAAGCACATAAAAGCCAATTTTTCTCACATGACTGTGTGTCCATCCATCTGCCAAGTCTTTCCTGGAGCTCAGAGCACCAACAGTAGCACAGGGGAGATTAAGACTGAATGCACGTGTGGAGGTGAGCAAGTGAAGAGTTGGGGAAGCATGAGCCAGGGGACAACTTCGGGCCCAGCAGTAAAAACAGCACCCTTAGGAGAACCCAGCACACCAAAGAATTGTAGAGACCTCCAAAAGGCACCTTGAAGAGCTCCATGGAGCTCCAGGGTATGTGCCTAAGCCAGTGGCAGAGTGACCAAGGACATCCACACCAGAGGCAGAGGTGTGTAGCCTTGAAGGACAGAGCCTAATGAGTCAGTGTTTGCCTCACACCTGATACATGCACTTGATGGAGTATAATACACACTAGGAAGAAAAACTACCACCTTACAATGACCGTAGGAGCGTCATGAAGACTGGGCTGCTGTGGATATTTCCTCAAAATGATTTCCAAGTCAGTTCACACCTGTTTCTGTCTCTTGATTTTGTGAGTTTTATTTCCAGAATTTCATCCTATATAAGGTTTAAAGTGTGTGTGCGTGTGTGCGTGTGTGTGTGTGTGTGTGTGTGTGTGTGCAGGGAAGTTATTCAAAAGGTGTTCATTCATCACACCATTCTTTACAATAAACCTCCGACTGGAATCGGTATGAATGGCCAAAATAGGAAAATTGTGAGGGATGCCTGGGTGGTTCAGTGGTTAAGCATCTGCCTTCAGCTCAGGTCGTGATCCCAGGGTCCTGGAATCAAGTCCCACAGCAGGCTCGAGTCCCACTGCTGAGCAGGGAGCCTGCTTCTCTCTGCCTGTTGCTCCCCTTGCTTACACTCTCTCTGCCTCTCCCTCTCTCTCTCTGACAAATAAATAAATAAAATCTTTAAAAAATGAAGGAGGGGCACCTGGGTGTCTCAGTGGGTTAAGCCTCTGCCTTCAGCTCAGGTCATGGTCTCAGGATTCTGGGATCGAGCCCCACATCGGGCTCTCTGCTTGGCAGGGAGCCTGCTTCCCCCCCAACCGCCTGCCTCTCTGCCTACTTTTGATCTTTCTCTCTCTCTCTCTCTCTCTCTCTGTCAAATAAATAAATCTTTAAAAAAATTTAAAAATATAAAAAGAAAAAAAATTTTTTAATAAAATAAAAAACGAGGGAAATGGTAAAGTATGGCACATTTACATGAATGTGCTATGCAACTGTTGACATCTACATTATCCACTGCTCTAGAAAACTAGGCTAAGGAGATGAAAGAAAGCAAACTAAGCTTAGAACATTAATAGGCAAGTTATAAAAAAATAATAAATATTTGGAAAAAAGTAAAAGCTCACTAATTAGTACAAATCAAAAGAATAATTTTTTGCTTCTATGAGAAAAATTCACAACAACTGAGATTCTGTATGGACATGGAGAAGATGGTATTTTCACACCTTATACACAAAGTTTCTTGAAAAAAAACAAAAAAAAAGAACAAAGGAGTCCTTGACCTACCCATCAACTGCATGGAGAAAACTGGGCAAGGTCAATCCTTATAGATATATTACAAGTCAAATCTTAGAAACAACACCAGTGTCCAGGACTAATGTGGGTATTTGTCATTTTTTTAATTATTTTTATTAACATATAATGTATTACTTGCCCCAGAGGTATAGGTCTGTGAATCATCAGGCTTACACATTTCACAGCACTCACCATAGCCCATACCCTCCCAGGGATTCGTTTTTTTTAAATTATGTACTACTGTACACTATGGAAACTTGAAAGTTATGAAATAGAATTATATTTCACCCCATGGAAGAATGTTCCCAGGTATACCTAAATCAGAAGCACAAGAGCAGTATATGTTATTCTCAAAAAAAAAAAAAAAAAAAAAATCAAATTTTTGCTTACACATATATTTTCCTTTTAGGCTTTAATTGTTCTTCCTATATATCCATTTTCCTAATTTTTCTGCAACTTTTATATTATTTAAATAACTTAGGGGCACCTGGGTGGCTCAGTGGGTTAAAGCCTCGGCCTTCGGCTCAGGTCATGATCCCAGGGTCCTGGGATCTGGCCCTGCATCGGGCTCTCTGCTTGGCGGGAGGCCTGCTTCCTCCTCTCTCTCTGCCTGCCTCTCTACCTACTTGTAATCTCTGTCAAATAAATAAATAAAATCTTTTTTAAAAATCACTTAAAAACCTGTTTATTAAATACAAATGAGATTTTAAAACAATATTCATTAACAGATATTTAATTAATTCATTAACAGATATTCACTAACAGAGGGAGATGTCTATGTTGGATAAAAACTACAGGATTCAAAACTAAATATA